GTACTCCCTTCTCTGTTTTTATCTCATTTTATTTTTCCTTCCCTTCCTCTATATTCATCTGTTTTTTTAAATATCAAATAGGAGTGAAATCATATGATATTTATCTTTCTCTGACTTATTTTGCTTAGTATAATACACTCTAGTTCCATCCACATTGTCGCAAACAGCAAGCCTTCGTTCTTTTTGATGGCTGAGTAATATTCCATCATATGTATGTATATGTGTATATACATATATACACACACCACATCTTTATCCATTCATCAATCAATAGATATTTGGGCTCTTTCCATAATTTGGCTGTTGTTGATAGTGCTGTTATAGACATTGGGGTGCATGTGCCCCCTTCCAATCAGTATTTTTGTATCCTTTGGATAAATACCTAGTAGTACAATTGCTGGGTCTTAGGGCAGTTCAATCTTTAACGTTCTGAGGAATCTCCACACTGTTTTCCAGAGTAGCTGTACAAGTTTGCATTCCCACCAACAGTGTAAGAGGGGTTCAAATAGTCTTTACATAAACATTAACAAAACAAAAATGACAGTGGAAAGGAGAAAAAATACATAAGGAACACATATGCTTTAACTAGTTAAGTTTCTTTTCATGCTAAAAAAAATCACAAGTGCTAAAAATCAAACTGAACGGGTATGTTTGAGGTACTATAATATGTTTTCATAAATCTAAAGAAATTGGAATGGAAGAAAGTATAAGACTCATAGCTAAAACAACTAAAGATAGTCATTCAGCATATAAAATTTTCTTCATTTCAGCTGAGGTAACAGTACAAATTCTGGAAAGCTGGTTATAACAGATATGCCACCGCTATGTGTTAGTTATGTTCCCCAAAAAGACCAGTTAACTATTAGGTTTTAATGCTGGATCTTTATATGTTAAATGTACAATTAATTTGAGTCCCTGTAAAAGTTATTAGAACCTTGATTTTCATGACAGAATCAGACCTTTGTGAATTCCTTAATTAACAAATAACATTACCCATAAAATAAAAAGGTGACCACCTTCAAGATACTTGAATGAACAGATAGAATTGGTGTTATTGTTTCGTGTAAAATTTAAAACTACATTCTACCACTAAGATAAACACAATATACTTCTACATCTGAATGCACAGTATTTCAGACTTTGAAGAAGTATCTTGCACAGAATATTCTATTTAAGATTTTGCTCCATTAACTACAAGTCCAGCACAAAACATACAAGATATCTGTGTCAGAATGTAAATTTTTCAATTGTACTTTTTCTTGCATCTAATGCCCCAGGATTTGAAAAACAGTAAAAGAAACCTGACTTCATAATCATAAACCTAGCATACTGCCAAGGGTTCCAAAAATCTCACAAAAGATCATGAAGTAAAAATTAAAACTTTGAAATCAAAGAAGTAAATTGACTGAAAAGAAACATTATAAGAAAAGTTAAAGGAATCAGCAGTATTTAACTGAAGAAACAGCTATGGAACAACTTGATTATTACAGTAAATAGTTTAGATATATATCCAGAATTATAAAAAGCATATAACATTCATATAAGACTGTACTGAGCACTGTAGGACACACAGAATTAATATTATAACTTTAGTTCTTAAGAAACTTACAATCTAGTTTAGTTAAAGCTACAAAGACACTTAATTGATAGGATGAATATATAGGCACAAAATAGGAAAATTTTGCCAGAAATGTGATAAAAGGAAAGCAAGGTGCCTGTACCAATTATTGAAACAGGTGACTCTTT